AAAAAGATAGCTATAAAGAAAGGGACTAGACAAGGCTGCCCACTTTCCCCACTCATATTCATCCTGACTCTAGAAATTTTACTCAGAAACCTTAGAACAGACAAATCCTTCCCCCACTTAAGCGTCGGGAAACAGGCCCTGAGATTTAGAGCTTTCGCAGACGACTTGATCGGCRTCATAGAAGAACCAAGAAAATACGCTCAAACCTGGTTAGCAAAAATAGAGTCCTATGGAAAGTTGGCAGGCTTCAAAATTAATAAAGAAAAGACAAAAATCCTAACAAAAAACATAAACAAGGTAAACCAGGAAAAACTTAAGCAATCCACAGGAATGCAAATAGTTTCAAAATTAAAATATTTGGGTATTTACATATCGGCGAATAATGCTAATCTTTTCAAAAACAACTACACGCCGGTATGGGATAAAATTAAAAAAGACCTCAAGACCTGGTCCAACCTCAAGATCTCCCTGCTGGGAAGAATAAGTGTCGTCAAGATGAACATCCTACCAAGGCTTCTCTTCCTCTTCTCAAATCTTCCTATAATCCAAAGCAAGGGAACATTCAACGAATGGAATAAAACGATACGATCATCCGTCTGGAATGGTAAGAAACCCAGGATAAAACATCTAAGTATGATCGATTCAACCAAGAGAGGCGGTCTTGGCCTACCGGACCTGGGCCTTTATCATGACGCCTGCGGCATATCCTGGATAAAAGACTGGATATTATTGGAAAAAGAGAGAACGCTAGCCTTGGAAGGTTTTAATCTGAGAATTGGCTGGCACGCCTATCTATGGCTAAACCAAGCCAAAAAAGAAAAAAACTTTAATAACCACGCAATTAGAAGACCTCTTCTGAAGATCTGGGAAAAATATAAAAACACCTTATATCTAGGGAAAATCCCCACGTGGCTCTCCCCTATCGAGGCTGAACAAAGGAGATTGCTAGGCTGGAGGAAATGGCCTACCTACAGAACCTCAACGATAAAAAAGGACAGAACACTCCAATTGAAAACGAAAGAAGAACTGACTAAGGAATTCAACTCACTCTCATGGCTCCAATACTTTCAGCTAAGGGAGCATTTTAATAGAGATCAGAAAAAAGCGATCGATCGATCGCTCAGGAGAATAGATGAAAATCTGTCATGGTTTCACTACCACCAAGTGGCAAATGCATTTAAGGAGGATAAGAAAGCGGATTTCGCACCGCTAGATAACTTCTGGGACTCAGTTATGGCAAAGGAGAAAAAACTTATTAAAATGATTTACAGTAAGTTATTAGAGTGGGACACGGAAAAGGATCTAGTCAAAGAAAATATGATTGCCTGGGCTAAAGATTTCGAACATACCATCCTACTCCAAGAATGGGAAGATATCTGGAGGAAAAAGATCAGATATGCCAGCTCGGCCGCCATAACAGAAAATTGGTACAAGATGGCCTACAGGTGGCATCTTACTCCGCAAAAAATATCAAGGTTTTACAAAGGGATAAACAGTAATTGCTGGAAATGCGGCTCTCAATTAGGCACATACCTGCACACCTGGTGGAAGTGCAAGAAAGTAAAGAGATTCTGGGCAGAGATCCACAAACAGATCCAACTAATAATCCAAACAAAATTTGATCTAAAACCCGAATATTACTTACTTCATCTACTAGATTTTGACCTGGATACCAATAAAGACAGAATTCTTTACCACCTAACAGCTGCAGCAAGAATAGTGCTAGCGAGCAAGTGGAAACAGAAAGAGCTGCCCACGACAGAAGACTGGCTATTAAAAGTCAGGGATCTAATGGAGATGGACTCCCTTGCCAATTTAGTATATGATAAAAATAAGAAAAGAAGGACGGACTGGGAACCGATGAGGACATACCTAAAAGAAAAGAAAAACATTTTACAAGATTACGGGCCTTAGGGTAGTGGAAGCAAATCAATACGGAAAGAAGAAAAGAAATTACAAATTGTGGAACATACTCCGCCGACTATTTTGGAAGTCAAGCTTTTTTTTAGCATCTACACCCCTTTCCCTCCCTTTTTGTCTCCCCTGCTATCCGTCTACCTCTACCCCCTGGCGACCCCCCACCCTCAAGACCTATTTCTCCCCCTCCCGTTATCCCGCCCCACCCCAACACCTAAAGCCTCTCTGTGACCCACTGTATGTATTTAACTGAAAATGCTAATAAAAATAATAATAAAAAAAAATAGAGATCAGAAAAAAGGATTCCTGGAGAAAGACCTGTTCTGGGAAAAGATCCTAAAAAGAGACAAGAAGAACATCACTGCCATCTACAATCTCCTATTAGAATGGGCTACAGAACACGAAAAAATTAAAGACTGCATGGTCAAATGGGCTAGAAACTTAGGCAGGACGATAAGCCTTCACGAATGGGAGCAAATCTGGACGAAAAAGATCAGATACACGTATGCCACCGTACTAAAAGAAAACTGGTACAAAATGTTCCATCGCTGGTATACAACTCCCCAGAAGATAGGCCAGATGTACAAAACAGCTAACAACAAGTGCTGGAAGTGTGGAGACCAAATAGGCACCTTTTTCCATCAATGGTGGTCCTGCCCCGCTGCCCAGATATATTGGAAGAACATTAATAAAATCTGTGAGAAAATATTTAACATCAGGATTAACGAAAGAGCGGAGTGTTACCTACTAGGCATATTCAAAGAGGAATGGGAGTTAGCCACAAACGAAGATATCTTATTAACATATCTTACATCAGCAGCAAGAATTGTATTTGCTAGGAACTGGAAACTAAAGGAAATTCCGACAGAACAGGAATGGATGGAGAAAGTTTTAGAGATAAAAGAAATGGACACGTTAACCTATGCTTTGAAGGACTCAAATGGCCGTCCCTTAAAAAGGACAGACTGGAACCTACTCAACAGATTCCTAGAAGAAGAAAGGAAGTAAATAGAGAGATGAGAGAGTGAATTAACCTAAGAGCACTTTAGAAATATAAGGGGCAGCCCTAACACAACAAGATATGAAGCTGACAAACCAATCCAAAAACGCGGTGTAAACGGAGACGGAAGTCATCCTCCCCCAACCTCCCCTCTTGTTTCCCCTCCCTTCCCCCCCCCTTCTCCCCTTGATTTTAAGATTTTTCTACAGTAGCGTATAGTAAAACATTGTAAAACATAACAATACCCTTGCCTTCCTTCCCATCCCCTCCCTCTTCCTCTCCCTACCTTCCCGATGTACTTTGTAATATTTTTGAAACTGCACTTTAATAAAAATTTATTAAAAAAAATTAAGCATCCTAGGATGGTTTCGGGAAACTTCTTCCACGCTGGATGCTATCACACAACATATAGCGACTTCTGGTGGGGCCCATGTAGGAAGTGTCCAGAAAGCACTGTGCTGCCCTCAGAACATGGGAGGCTTCCCATATTCTGTAGAAAGTTATAGGATCCAGCTGCAGCGGCAATGCTTCCCCACCTAGAATGGAGAAGCATCTGCTTCAAACAAGGCGGGGTGCAGGGATTGCCCTACTGTCCTGCTGATTCACCACAGGTGGTGGTGAATTGCCCTGTGGGACCTCTTAAATGTGGTGAGGTCCAGTGAAAGGCAAAGCCCCCATGCTATGGTCTACTGTGCAAACAGGGCGAATCAGTAGGATCCCAGCACTGTTCTTAAAATAGTACATATTAACTGAACTGATGTGCACTGTGGAAAAGTGTGGACTTCCCCTTTTTGCTGTTGTGTGCCTTCAAGTCATTTCCAATTTATGGTGATCCTAAGGCAAACCTATCATGGGGTTTTTAAGGCAATATTTGCCTTACTTAGAGACTAAAACCCTTGTGCTAGCAGGACCGAAGACTGATAGGTCACAAGTTCGAATCTGGAGAGAGCGCAGATGAGCTCACTCTGTCTGCTCCGGCACCCCATGCAAGGACATAAGAGAAGCCTCCCACAAAATGGTAAAACATCAAAACATCCGGGCATCCCCTGGACAATGTCTTGCAGATGGCCAATTCTCTAACAAGTCACTCCTGACATGAAAAAAAAAAAGAAACTAAAAGGAAGTGACTTGCCCAAGGCCTCCCAATTTGTTTCAGTGTTGAGCAGAAATTCAAACACTCAAACTGTTTCAGTACAGTGGCTCATTCCATTGGTACATCAAAAAAACTCCCCCTAAAAAAACAGAACTCATTTTTGCTGACACATTTAATATCAGACATCACCATTTTAAATGACTAATTGAATGCAATCCTATACAGACTTATTTGGGAATAATTCCTACTGAAAAAACCTGATTTACTTCTGAATAAACATGCATAGGCTTGCACTGTGAATTTAAGTTTCCTAAAAAGTAATAACAGGTTTTTTTAGCATTTAATTTGTCACCGACACTGGAATACAACCAAATTGATGGTGTGCTCTCAAGTATTTCTATCTTGATTTGGAGTAATAGATTGTGAAATCTTTATTCTCTGTGCCTTGTTCTACATATCTTAATCAGACACTCACTCCTTAACATACTTCTTCATATCTATAAACTTTAGTTGGATACCCATTTTTAGCAGGTTACAACAGTAAAGCTATATTTCTTTCTAGATCGAGCACACCAGGTGCTAAAACATGAAGGAACTGAAATGTTTGCCTATTCGGAGAAGAATCCAACTTTGCAATATGTCCAAAGAAGACATTCCAGTTCCATTGTTTGTTGCCCCTTGATGCACATCTCCCTATCTTAATGAACAGATCACTCTGCCATGTGGCACTATATTTCCACTGATCAAAAAGTTGTGTCCCAACTCCCTTCTCAACAGGCAACAATATTGTGTGATCTTGGACTTTTGACTGTCAAGAATGTCAGATTGCTCTCCCAAAGGCCAGGAGATCTATAGCAGCTGAAAGGGACTCCCTGCCATTATCATGTCTGCACTTTTCCCTCCCAGCTCTGCACTCAGAATTTAAATGGTGGATGTTTAAAAACTGTACTTAATTTAACTGTGTGCATCTGTGTGTGTGCATATGTGCAGGTGTCCAAGAGGCAGTGGTGACTTGCCTGAATAAACAGACCAGAGAGTTTGCAGATGACAATCTGTGTGTCAGCAGCCGGCGTCCCCCACAGTTGCTGAAAGCCTGTAACTTGGAGCCTTGTCCCCCAAGGTAGGCTGCTGATTGTTTTTTGCTTTTGTAGACTGTGCTGCCTACTGTAAGTAGGAGAGGAAGAATGGTAGATCTTCAGAAACTAAGTCCGCATTATTCTAAACTACTTTTGAGGGTCGGAAAACTTAGCCAACTGGAGGACACATTTGTTGACACCTATCCGGAATAAGTACACTTTTTAAACTGGCATTTATTTCACATCTACCTAAATATATGCAAGATTACTCTTGATTAATCCATGGGACACAGATTCCACTCTACTGATAGTAATCCTAAAGTTTGTCTTCTCATTTTGTTCCCTCACTTTAGTCCTTACATATTTATATTACATGTTGAGGAATGCAAGTGACAACATTTTGTCTCTCAGAAACAGAACTTGGTAAAAGTGCATTTTGGAATCCTCCAAAACTTGTTAGTGTTATGTACCTTCAACTCACCTCAGACACATGGTAACTCTATCTTGTCAAGGTTTAATCAGAGGAGGTTGACCATGGCCTTCCTCTTAAGCTAAGTGTGAGCCCTTCCAGACAGGCCCTATATCCCAGGATTTGATCCCAGGTTTTCTGCTTTAAATGAGATTTATATGAGTCTACACTGCCAGATAATCTGGAATAAACAGAAAATCTGGTCTCATATCCTGGGATATAGGGCCTGTGCGGAAGGGCCCAGAGTCAACCACATGGGTATCCATGGCTGATGGTGGATTCAAATCCTAGTCTCACAGATTCCTGGTCCAAAATTCAAGTCACTTTATCATGCTGACTCTTGCTCAGAAATAACAAGGGGTGGGTTGTTGTAGTTTATTTCGGGCTATATGGCCATGTTCTAGCCCAAAAAAACCTACAACAACCCAGTGATTCTGGCCATGAAAGCCTTCAACAATACAATAACAAGGGGTGTTTTTCCCTTTCATTTCCACTTGACATTTTTCAAACTTTTCCTTTAACTTTGCATGTACTAAATTGAATTTCATGAATTGTGTGCAGGACATTTCTCTTTGTTAGACTTTTAACCTGCTTTCCTTCAGAGTAGCCCAAACAATGTACATTGTTCCCCATTGCCATTATTTTAGCTTTTTAACAAAGCTTTTGAATGAAAGATGGCAACTGGCCCAAGGTCATTCAATAAGATTTGTGAGAAAGGAGTAACTATATGCTGCATTGAACACATAGGCAATTGACCCTCAGTTTCAATCTTGGCCAAACTAAACTCATATTGAGGAATGAAAAGAATACCTGTCACTTTTACATACTGAGTGGAAAATGCAGAGCTTGGTATTCAACACATCTTATTGAGGAAAAAGATATTATTTTAGAAATATGCAGTGGCATAAAATATGTTTATTTCTCTGCACATAAAATAGTTTATTCTGCACACAAGTAATATTTGGCAGCAAATATTGTATTTTACTCAAAATATACAATACTATTACTAGCACATCTTTTTGTACAAAAGAATTTTCTCAAAAGATGTCCCAAAGTGCAAATAGTGTGTTCAAAAATGCACTGAACCTGGGGGGGGGGGGGGTATTTGTTTCTAGCATGTGACAATAAAACAAATTAAATTTTAAATACCTAACACATATATCATGCAAACAGGTAAGTCTGAAGCCATCTGACCCTGGAAGCTTTTTAAAATGCTATCTTTAAATACACCTCCACCAGAATGATTTGGAGGATATCCCTGTGTCCCAGTTCATAGATTCTCATGCACAGAAACTGGGGCAGACTCTGATATGTAGATATTTGTCCATACACTCATGTGCCCAGCACGTGCTTGATACTAAGTCTATGGTTAATCTGGAAGATGCAATAAATGCAGCCTGAGTACAGAAGCTTTGAAATAGAGGTTCCTTCTATACAGGGAATAAAATCCAGTTCCAAACCAGCTCAAGATTGGGGTGCCCACAAAATGTATATCCTCAATGTGCATGGCAACACACGCCCAGATGGAAACAGGGTGCTTTAAAAACTCACCAGAAATTCCAGTTCAAGCTATAAAATCCACTGCAGACAATCCGTGTAAATCCCATGCAGAGCTGGAACCCAGAATGCAGAGTTCTTATGAGGACAGGGCTAGTGGTGAAGCATTTGGGGGAGGAAACCTAATACACAACGTGGTCAGAAGGCAAACAAAATCCCACCAGAGAGGAAACCACAGCATTTCTAAGAGAATGCTCATTTTTTCCTTTTGTGTGTGTGTGTGTGTGTGTCCTGCTTTCCTCTGAAACTGATCTTCATTGGAACTGTTCCACATGTCCTGTTGGATGAGGTAGGAAGGGGAAATCTTTCAATCTGCTTGATCTGCAGTCAGCGGATCTTTATGACCAGCATCCCAGCCACCAGCCAATTCCTGGGATGCCTGTATAGGAACTCCACAATGAACTGGTTTTCTTTAATCAGTGTCCTGACTCAGATTAAATTGCTGTGTAGAAGCAGTCTGGGATGACGACTTCATTCAGCCAGACATGTTTCCTTACAATTGGTGCTTCTTTTTGGACCACAGAATCCTCCTGTCAGTGCAGCCAGTAGACATGCTATTGGTGAGAAGTATAGTCCAGAAAAGTAATTTTTCTAAACTGCAGTTTTCTATACATTTTACTCCACATCTGTAATAATGCATAGCAAAATCCCTTGGCAGGATTATACAAGTGATAAAGCTACCTGGAGTGTGAACCCAGCCTATCTTTTTAATCTCTGTGGGATCATATTTTCAATCTTCTGTTGTTAAAAGCAAGGGATTGTGAATACAAAATAGAAAGGAACATTGAAGATTGTCAGCATTCCCCTAAGTAAAGTCTGAAGTTTTTTCAGAATGTTGCACACAAAGCCAACCCTCATGTAATATTTCACTAACCTAATCAAATTGAAAATATTTTTATTTAATTCAGATGCGTAAGATTATGTACATATGTTTGTTCCACATGGAGAAGAATTGCAATGTTCCGTTGCATGCCCAACACAGTTGAAAGTACTATCTCTGTAATCAGACATGAGCTGAAAATTCAAGTAATTTCCACAGAGAACAAAGCAATTGGTTTGTTAATGTGAAATAAAGTACAGTGATATGGGAGGAACATGGCAGTGGGAGGAATTGAGTCAAAAGAAAAAGATCGGCTTCTTCCCAAATGAGGGAGCATTTTCCTTCTGCATTGCTATTATATATTACTAGCCATCCCTGCCACGCATTCATGTGGCCCAGTTCTGTGTATATGTGTTTTTTGTGTGTGTATGTTTGTATATATATGTGTGTGTGTATATTTGTGTATATGTGTATATATGTGTGTTTGCATATATGTGTGGTTTTGTGCATGCGTTGTAATTTATTTTTTATTTTTTGGCTTTTAAGTCTCTTCTTTTGTTTTTTTTTTCTCCAGTGTTTTTATGAGTGATGGTCACTTGTTGGCCTGATAGGCATATTGTGTCTAGATATGGTGTCAATTTGTCCAGTCATTTTTGGGTTATGTTAATCCCACAAACTAACATTACATTTTTATTTATATAGATTACTGCTGTGTCTTCAAGTTGTTTATCAACCTGAGGTGAACCTATCAGTGGGTTTCTATGAACAAGTGGGGAATCAGACCATTTTCCAGTATCATGGGGCAATGTTCAAAAACTTCTGGTCCCTAACACTGGATAACAACAATTAACTTGATGTAACCCCATGTTAGCAGAAATCAGAGAATGCTCCAGAGCTTAGCCAAAGCTCTGGAACAGCCTTGCACTTCAGGGTTAGTGTGAAAACTGTTCACATCCCATTTTCCCTGTGCAATGCTTCAAACTGGCCCCAGATTTAGGTGTCTGTGTAAATAATCCAATGCCGACTCTTTATATATTATATCTAAGACTAATAACTATCTGTAATCTTTTGTTTGTACTTTTAAACTGGCAGAAGCTGTCAGTATTCCTGACTTTCCCTAAGCACACAAGCCATTTGGTCTCCAGTGTCAAAGAGCAAGTGGAAGGGAAGGTCAAATCCATAGCTGGTTAAATCCATGGGTGCAGAATCTGCAGAAACAAAGAGATGAGTGTACTCTCTTCTAGCAATACTGTAAGAGAAAAATCATTCACTTTAGAAAGTGTGTTTCGTTCCACATTTTATCCTTTCCAGTGCTTCATCAAATCAATATGCCAAGTGTAAATAGTACTTCAGGTATGTAATTATTACCTGGCATTCTTAACCTAACTGATAATATAACTTTTTAAACTGATTTAATTTGATGGATCAGTTAGTCTGTAGGCATCATAAGCAACGTTCTAACTTATAGGGGCACTTGCTGACCACTTAGCATATTTGCCATTCCTGAAGACTGTAATAGTATGAATTGGTTTGTGCAAGTCAACAAGTACTACCAGGAGTATGGAAGACTACCATGGTGGATTTTATGAATTATAATTTTTATATCTCTTCTACAGTTTGGTTAGCATGTGTTTAAAAGATTTGGGATGTGTAGGTGTAGCGGGAGGAGGAACAGGCAATGAAAGCCAGATGGATGAAAATGAAAGAAATTCCAGTCAATTCTGTAGCTTTGTTCTTAACATACTTTCAAAGCTGAACTTTTATTCCTGTGCAAACAGCTGAATAGTAGAGAACAGACACACTTGGGGGCAAAAGCTCATGAAATTCCAGGAATAGCTCAAACACCCCACTCCTCTGTACACAACTCTTTCTCAAACTTTATGATTCTTCTGAGAACTGGGAGAAAAGGTCTGCAGCAGCAGTTTGATGGTTCCCGGACAAGGGAGATAAATCTCCAAACTCTCAGCAAGGTCAATGCCTGTGCCGTAAACACCTGACCTACCCCATTATAAGGCTGATTTGTTATCAGGGGAGATTGATTCCTATTTTTCTGTATTATTGCTTGTGCCTACTGAATGTGGTTTTTTGGCTTGTCTTATTTTGTCTCTCATTTATTAATAGAAATATAACAATATAGTGGAAATTTAACCAACATTTTGATTAACAATTTATCCATTTTTAAATTAATTAGTTTGTTT